TAGCGTACCCAGTGTTGCTTGGTTGGAACGAAATGATATAGCTGAAAGCACTTCAAAACAAGTAGTAATCAATTGAATCAAGTACAGGTTAACGTGGTTATATCTAAAAAAACAACTAGCGAATATCACAATATATACTAGTAGTAACATATTTGTGGCGCTGCAAAGATATAATGCGATTCATTGCTTGAGTAGATTCATGAAACTATCTAGAATGAAACGATCAACGAAAGCTTATCCAATATCGCGGAGGAATAATTGGACACTCAAACACTACCAAGTTTCTCTCAAACCAAGTCTTCAGCTCCCTAGTCCTCTGTATCCTTAGTAATAATGCTACTATTAATACTATATGGCATATCATTTTTCCCGGGATACGGACTGAACGAGTTCGATAAATTCAGTATGATCTCTAGGAATTCAAAAGTTGAATCAACCATAAAGGTCATTTTTCAAACTTATGAAACAGAATTTCATCTTGATGACATATTCAACTAGTAGTCAACAAATGACCAACTCCTGCACAAAATGTCATTTTAAATGAGCAGTATCAAGAAATATCTTACTTTCTTTCCAATGAACAGTAAATCATTGAATTCAGTATACAATTCAAGTAATATAAAACAGTAACCAACTTCTAAATACGTTGAGAAGAAAGAAATCAAATAGACCTTTTCTTACGTATCTACTAGAATAATTATGCCATATCCCGTTGAGATTTAACTAGAAGTGGTAAGATTCAGAGTACTCTAAAGCAAGTGATCATTACTTCCTTCAATAAAGCTGTAAACAGAATTGTTTCGGATATCACTCTGAAATAAGATTCAAATTCAACTCATCAATCGAAACAAGATATTGGCACGGCATAAATACATTGGCATTTATTACTTGAATCAATTGTGGTAATAGTCCAAGATTAAGAGGTGGATGAAAACCACCAAAGATTGCGAAAAGGTTCAAGCATCAAAGGATATACAAAAAGATCCTGAAATTAGAACAGGACTATTAGTTTGTGTTCTGCTGCTACTTGTGTAAAATCGCAGAGTTGATCTTGCTTTTTGTGAGGATCAACCTCAAAATCTATAAATCATAGGTCTGATATTTTAACCCCGTCAAGCCAGGGAAGCATTCATTTACTTCTTTTCCTTGAATTTCTTTCAACAGACCTTTCTATATTATGCAATTGAAAAGTATACTATGTAAAACATAAATTTTTGTCTTTTATGACAATTCATATGAATAAGGGAAAACAACCAGTATTTCGTGCTAAGACAAGTTCAATTTCTATTCCCAGCAGACAGTTTATATAGAACTTTGACTGCAATCTAGTTGATTTTTTCTTTGAATTTACATCATTCCGCATTCTTCGAATACTACTTTTTATCATATTCATTCCTTTTCTTGTACAATGAGCATTCAACTGTTTTTCGAACATATTACAACTCTAAAAAACAAGATCTTCACCATTCTACAATTAAAACGATAAAGAAGAGAAAAAACGAGATAGAAATATTATCTTATCCTTATCGACTAGATGACCACTCCATATCAAGCTGGTCTTAGGGTCGAAGAAGTAAGGTGGAAATATTCTGGAGCATAAATAGTCAAAAAGTGTGGTTTCGACATAAGAACATCACAATATATCCAGATGAATCAGTAGTAGATTCTAGATCACATAAAACAGTATGTTGTACACGTCCACGATACTGCAAGTCCACTTGTCAAAGATTACTTGATTCAACTGACGAAATTGTCTCAAATGGATCATTTGGACTATCACTTGGAGTTACCCATCCCTCCAAATGCAACACAACTATCACGGGACAAAGAGATTTTATGTGATCGGGATTTCCAATGAAAAAAGCTTCTGAAAGGTTGTACGTCGACGTTTTCGGAAAATAAATGACCACTAGTTGCTTCATCATACTATCATAAGATAACAAATAAGTTCGTTTCAAGAATCAAAAGATAAAGATTAGTCTCAAACATGTACAAGCAAAATCGAAAATCGACCAGTAAACAACTCGATACCCTATTTGTTGTTCAAAATCAGAACCGTATTTAGTTCTACCGACAGCAAGGTACAGGAATAGCTTTTAAATGTGCAAATAATGCCCTTTTATTTTGTAAAGTCAACAATTCAATTTTCTTTTATGGTAAAAAATAGGTCAAATTCGTACTTTTATGACAAAATCTATTATTAATATTCCATGTACTACTAACCAATACACTATGGCTTTCTCTTGTTTGTTGTTGTTGTTGCTGTCATTTTACAATTCCAAGTAAATAAAACAATTGCACTTTTCCGCTCATGCCAACAACGAAGAAAACAGTAAAAGATAGAAGCACCAGTCATTCTCTTTGTAGACTTGATGACTCTGTCATACTTTACTAGGCTTGGGCTCATATTTGTTGTTGTTGCTGTTCTGGTTGAATTTCAAGTAGTGGCGAATGGTTTGATTTTGCTGCGATAATATAAAAATGTTTTAGGTTCGTGTCAATGTATTTGCAAACCACTTTGTTCGTCTGCGTATGCTTTCTAGGAATTATTTACCAAAAGTTGGACTTTATCTTCAGAGTCAAACCAAAAACTCTAGTCGGACACGATGACATCAACGTGTACACTTGTGTAACACTGTAGAAGTTCAACCCATCCTTCATGAATGTCTTTCAGAGCTACTTTGTATACTATCCAAACGCAAGCTGTTTGCACAAAATGTGAAGTTTCCTTTTCACTTTTTGACAGCTACAACTACCACTACTTTCAACAGCATGACTTTCAGTGTGTTGGGAAAAAACAGATCAGCAGCACTCTTGACACGCAAGTAATGTTACACACAAGTCTCCTTGTTTCCCATTCACACCGTACTACTAATGTTACCCCCTATCCAACTATACAAGGACCAAAGACGATTTGCAATAGATGCCTTTCAGAAACACCATCAATACTAGTTCCAACTTTATCACTCTTACTACTCACATATCCTTTTAGACATATTTCAACTTCGGTAAACCCACTAATTCAAAAAACAAAGGCGTTTCTCAAAACGGACTAATAGCTACAGTCGCCATCGTCAAAACCTTTTACCAGGTGGACACAACCATGACTTTCAGCAGTGCTCTTTTGCTTGCTTTATTTCACGGTTCCCAATAAGGTGAGTATATTTTGAACTGAAAACTTTTTCCGTGCTTTCAAAAAACAAGTTTATTCAGCTTTCGTTTTCAGAAACTGTCAAACCTTATGGGTGTCGTTTTCCATACTCGAATCAATAGAGAACTGATCTAAAAGCACAACAATACAAACAACCATTAAAAATATGCAATGATGGACTCAAGACTTTCCTATGCTATCCTGAGAAATGCCTGTTGCAGAGTTACAGACCGATTTCTCCATCGTGAAAAGAGTCATATAGAAGACAAAAAACTGTCATACGGAAAGTAACGCTGTGTACTGAACAAAACACTCAACTGAGTGTCTGACTGGTTTCTTGTTCTTGCAGAATATCTTTGAAATAATAGCCCCAAGCCTGATTCTCAGAATCTCAACAACAGACTACAGGACTTTCAACTGCTAATACATACGCAAAACTGCTCTGAAACAATTATCGATAAAAATAAACAAACTTGTGAGACAATTAGTTGACCAAAGTACCAACACTCAACCACAGCTTGAATTCCTTTGTCTTTGCTCTCTTCTCGACAATGCTAATCTCAAATTTCCATACAAGACCAGAAGTGAAATAACGACAAATGTTGCATAAAGTATATAAACTCCAAAGAGCCAATAAAAGTTGTAAATACTAAAAGAAACTACAGTCTACATGGAACTCAGAGCTCAGGAATCGATGGATTGTTCTAAAAGAAACATTTGAAGGGCTTAAAAAGAAACGTAGATAATAGAAATTGACTTGTCCAACTAAAACAAACGACGAATTTGCTTTAGAAATTAAAGTCTGAAAAGTTTCACTAGCAAACTCGAATCAGGTCCACGGCCTTGACAAAACTCACTGAGCCTTCCCCTTTATCCAACAATCAAACCATTATGTTCATTTCTAATTGGATTGTTATGAGAAGGATCGCTTTGTATTCTCTCCTTTCACTGGAGATATATTATTTTGAGTGACTAGTGAGTTTTATGAAAGAAAATATTCCACCTGGAGATATGTAAAAAGTTTCTGGAACAATAAGTGTGCTAGATACAATCAATCTCACATCTCAGTAATTTTGTGAAACGAGAAGAACAGTGTCGTAACAAAGGTCCTCTCAACTCCCTTGCGACAATGTAGCCCTTTAACGGAGTTGAGTTTGATCAATCTTGTCTCTGCAAGGTAAATTTGGAACTACTTGTGAGCCTATTTTGATAACAAATCAAGAACGGTTTTGCTACAACTAGTTTTTGACTCGTTCTCGATCTGAGAACCTTTCTTTGTTGGTCACTCAAAATTTAGGAAACTGCATAAAGGTGTAAAATTGTCATTTTCTAATTTCAATGACATTAACTCTGTTTGGCTTGCATTGTGAGAGCTAGAACCTTTCCTTCTATGCAAAATACGCTCAAGGAGCAATCTTTGTTCGATTACGAGTTGTAAAGAAGAATAAATCATATATTCAACCGTAGAATTGGAAAGTATACAGAGGACAGGACGATAGTAAAAAACTGAGCAAAGGTTGGGAATACTTTTGTCTATACACAAATTCGTACATAAACTACCTACGATAAGTAGGATCGAACCTCAAACGATTCAAGGCTATTGGTTCGTTCTCCACGTAAAGAACTTGTTGAGAGTTTTCAATAGTATAACAACAATAAGAGTGGTGATGCTTTTGGTTCTCCTTGCACATATATTTCAAGATTCACCTTTCTTTTTTACTTTGCCAAGAGAGATGAAAGATTCTTATTTTTCCATTATTTCTACGTTTATATTCTTTTCTTTTCACTAGGAGACGAAATTGACCCAGTATATTTAAGAGAACAAGACCTTTACCAGTTTGGATAACAACCAAAATATCATTTGAGATTTGACTCTGCAAGAGAATCAGATAAATTGTTTCATCTTATTCTGCTGAATATTGTCTGCGAGTTGACGACATTTTTATTCTTTGTAGAGCAACTTGGATAAAAAGGCGTTTCTCTTCTTTTTCAAGTTTGACATGTCCCTAGTAGAAATGAACATTCCTTCTATTCGATTCTCGTTACCAATATCCAAAAGGAAGCCTCTACTAGTGTACCCATCAGGTTATATTTCGCAAAAGTCTTCTTCCAAGTGCCTAACGCAAGGAACTTTCGTATAGTGACTCACTTATTCAATGATCTGATGGTTGAGAATGGAAGAAGAATAGGGACTCAACTGCAGCTGAACAAATCGTTCTTTGAATTTGCAGAGCTTTTAAAAGTTTTACCTTTTTTTATATTGGAAGAAATAATAGCCCTCTTGGAGTTATATCGTTCCTAAAGCAGCTTTGTACTTTTTATAGTTTGCTTTCTTGTATATCTTTAAAAGTTGTGGTTTTTACAAAGTTTATCGTACAAGAGGATGCAGCAAAAGCCTTTAAACCTAAACAGTCATGTTTACCTTCAAAAACACCTCAAATGTATAGTCGACTATTGAGGAGAAGGAATTCAACTATGATTCAAATGTGAGGAACGAGAAAAGAATCGATAGAATAGACTCAATTTGACTGAATTGAATTTCTTGAAAGTATCTTTTCTCCTCTTAACAGAATCCACAGTATTAAATGCCACTATTTTCAGAGGAGAAAGAAACAGGAGTTATTGACTCTATTACAGAAATTGAGTATTGATGATGCACTTGTGTGAGTCAATGTTGTTTCTGAGATTTGATAAAACCACGAGATATTTTGGATCCTTCTTTGCACATTTGTTTCGGTTTGTCTTTTTGCTATCATCAACTTTTGTAGCTTTAGTGATAAGCTGCTACTTGTCATGATATCGTGAGAAAGGAATTTGATGATTCCTGAAAATAAAGCAGTGCTGTGCTTGCGGGTTTCTGCATTTCTACTAAATAATAATATTTCAACTAGAGCTCTTGAATAGACTGCAGAAGAGAATGACTTGGTTCATACTCTAGTTCCGTGTTTCGAAATGAAGCAAAAGTGACGTAAAAACTATTCCATAAAATACAGAAAATCTAGAGAGACGTCTATGGAACAAATTCTTCATGAACAATCTATATTGCTCGGAACTCTCATGACTATTCTCGAAAATTCTGAAAGAAACTTTCTTATCTATGTGAGAATGGGCCATGTTTAATAGCTTTATACTCTCAAAGAGCATAAAAAACTTGTGAAATAAACATTGGCTTCCTTCCAATCCTTCTTGTACCCTATGAGAGTTACCATTATATTAGCATACGAGAATAAGAATATCGATAGTTGAAAAAGCCATATTGATCGTTCTTGCCATAGTTGTAGTCATCTCAGTCCAAGCCATAAAGGGTATGACATAGTCATCAGTTGATAAAGAGAAGAAGTTGGATTGGTATCCTTTACTGTTTTCCTTGTTGTTGTTGTGACCGACAAACAGTCAATCGTTCATTTATTTATGTTTGTACTCCGAAATAAACAGAAGATTATTTAATTTCTCTTTGGCGATGGCGAGTTTGGATGAAAAGTGGAAAGCTGTGGACAACTTTGAGTCTATTGTGGTAGATCGTGAAAGAGATGTTTTTCGAGTGACAGAAGAATTGTATGATCTTCATAAAGGCCGAAAGCAACTCAGGGGTGTAACAAGTAGTTGCAACTATCGCTTGACCATACCATTTGCCCCCCATCTCTTTGGCTCGGGCAAAACGACCTTTGCCCGAACCTATTTGGAGTTGGTGCAAAGGTTTGGTGAAACTTTTCTGTCGACGTTTGCTTCGGACCCTTCGAGGAGAACCTTTTTGGAGAAGCTGAAAAGGACTTCATTGCTCTTTGTGGATTTAAAGGAGTTGGAGCCCACAGAACCGAAAGAACGCAACCTAAAGTGGGCAGTCTACTATTTATTGTACCGATCAGCTTGTAATCAGATGGGTCTACCGTTTATGAAGCCTGATGAAGCCTACAGACACATTCCTCCCTATCCAAGCTTTCTAATTCCAGAGCTACGGAAGACTTTGGGCATTCCTCCCGATCAATTTCTTTTGGTAGCTTAAAAGAAGTTGGTGTGTTTGATACAAAGGCAACTTTCTTGAACTGGAGAAGAATGACG